GGGCGCAGGGCACGGCTGGGGATGTGCTTGGAGGAGGGCGAGGGCGCTCCCGGAGGAGGGAGGAGACGAGGGCTCGGGTCCGGCCAGGCCTGTCGCTGGGCCTCTTGGGTTCGGGCCAACCTTTGAGGCTCCCATGCGGCAGACGGCTTGCCTGATTCGCGCCAGAACAAATCGCTTGGCTGCATTCTCAAACCTTAATGCCTTGCTCCCTTTTGCCCGCGGCCGCAGGTCGTCCGAGCGGCCTCGAGCGGGCGCGGCGGGACGTGCGTCCTGCACCGGCTGGGAATTATCGTCGGCCCGGGCTGCGGGCGGCCGGGCGGCGCGGCCGCGGGCGGCGGCGGTGGGGGGCCCCTGCTGGGGCGCGCGGGCGGCGGGGGCAGCCTGCGGCGGTTGCTGGACGTCGGTTCGTTTTGGGAAGACGCAGGGTGATAGACGATCAAACCGGGCAGGCCACCAAGCTCAAGTACTGCTGTCTGATTGTTACCAAGGTGCATCCTTGTCTAACCCGTGGGTGTGCGTATGGTGTGACGCAGCACTGCGTGAGTTGCAGGGGCGCTGCGCGTCGTGAGGAGCGACATTCTACAGCGCGCCAATTGTGCAAGCACCGCCGGTGGCGTGTGTGCTACTTTGTCCTGTGTGCGTATGTTGCACTATTTGCAACGGGATCCAGCCTTCTCAATTGTAATATCTTAAGTCATGGACATCCAATGAGAAGTTGTTGTGGGGTAATGCTGTTCCTAGCGCGTCGACAGGAAACTGGGGTACAAAACGGGACAGCGAGGCATGATTGGATGAAATGATTTGTAAGGGGCAGTGCGCCTGAAGCGAGCCGGTGGCCCGCGATTTGCAGGGTGAAGGTTGGTTGGCAGGGTTGTGCGCGGGCCGGGCGCGCGCACCGCTTGGCACCGGGCACCGCAGCAAACTCGGCCCCGGGCCGCCAGGCTCTTGGGTGTGCCGGTATCAGGCCGGCCCGGGCGTGCACTGCAAGGCGGGCGCGGCAGCGGCGCGGCAGCGGCGATGTGGGCCCCAGGGCCCAGTAACCATCGGGGGCGCGGGCGAATGGGCGGCTCGCTTGCGCGGCCGCTGCGCTCCAACGCGCGGCGAAAGCTGGACAGATGAGCGCCGCGCCTGGGGCGGCGGTCAGGCAGGCGTGGATGAAACAGAGCGACGGCAAGTCATCGTCGGGGCCCAACCCTAAACACACACACATCCCGAACCCAAAAAAATAGCGCAGGCTGCCCGGACCAAGAGTAGCGCGGGGTTGTGGGGGCCAGGGCAAGGACAGCCCCAAGCCACACCAACTGCAGGCCCCGAGCAACGCGCTGGCCGGGCGCCCGCGTGGTGGGCCCCCACAGCAAGATCCAGGAGTGACGTCTGCAGTAGCAGGTGCCAGGGGACCACGCAACGCGCGCGTGCATGGCAGCGGCACGGAGGTCGTGCGGCGGGCTGCAAGCTAGGATATTCCAGCTGCTGCAGAGAGATGTGATCACAAGTCACCAACAACAGCCACAATTGAAGAAAATCCCTCATACAACAGGCACAGCGCCAGCCAAAACGCACGGCCACCCTGTTTAAGGCGCCTCCCACGGGCAAGCCGCCAGGTCGGGGAGCGCGGTGCGCTCGTGGGCCGTGCCCTCATCCAAGGATGCCCGCGCGCCGCTCTGCTGTTGCAAGCGCCCGCGCCCGCGCCTGGCTCCGAGGGGCCTGCGCGCCTAGATGACACCCCGGGGGGGGGGGGGGGGGAGGGGACCGCCCTAGACCCCAGCGGCCGACCATGCGTTGTGAACGTACATCAGGGACTGCCACAGGGCGTCCTCGGGGTGCGGGCCGACGCGCGCCTTGCAGCGCATGCAGAAGGGCACGCGCGCCGCGTCCACGGGTATCTCGTACACAGTCAT